TGATGGTTGAGTTACAAAGAAGAAAATCCTCTTGAGATTTTTCTTAGAGAGTCACAGAATCATGATTTTTTAACTATGTTGTTATGTGCCATCAAGTTGGAACCAACTCGTATCTGACCTTCAGCAGGTTTTCAGAGGATGTCAGGTGCACAGAAAATTATTGCCATGGAGATGCTGGTGGTGGATTTGAACTATTTGCCTTTAGGTTGATAGTGTCACTCCTTACCATTTGGCCACCACAGACCAGAACTGTAGAAGAGGATATATGATCTTAGAACCATAACCAGTTGTACTTTAGTTGATTTTGACCCCTGGTGTGTCAGAGCAGAGCAGTGCTGGTTTTGGAAGTGGGGCTCTTAGCCTTTCTTTGATGTGCTCCCCTAACCTTACCTTTTCAGCTAACAGCAGGGCTATTTTTACGGCCCGTGGAGTTATATATAGCACACTATTGTGTGAATGCTGCCTGTTGTTTGCCACTTTCAAAATTATCCTATAAAAAGAACATAGAAGATGATTATAGAAAACAAATGTTTTGTTTTATCCATTTAAAATGGAATTCCAAAATCTCTGTAGATGTTCATTGAAATGAAAAATAAATAAAATATTTTTTTAAAGAAGTGAAATCTAGCCAAGTGGAGGAGAGGCTAGAGAAACTTATTCTGTATCATACAAAGAAGTCAAAATGTACTGTCCATAATTGGAGGATGAAAAAAATAAAGCCTTGAGAATATTATTTAAGTCACAAATATGACTAATAAATTAGCTATATGGCTCACATAAGGACAGAAATTTTGTGATACCAACTTTTATAAGAAGACATGAATAAAGAAATTCACAGAGACTAGTATTTCCTGATGATTATAGGTGCTGGGAAGGGAGGTGGATGACCCCAGATCCTGCACACTTGTTATTTTTGGTGATGGGAAAGTAGCTCTGAATGTGAGTGTAATGAGCACAGCTTGACCAAAGTAAATTATGCCACTGAGACACTTACAAGAGAAAATGATGTTTGTGCTAACGAATATGATATAAATATAATTTGGAAATGAAATGATCAGAATGCAGTTAAAGAGAATGTTGACTGATGGTGAAAAGTGCAGCCCACTTCCCTTGCAGCTCAGCGTGACGCTGTAGGACTAAGTAGAACTGCCTCAGAGTTCCTGTCTTTATGAAAGCAGGTGCCTCTTCCTACTCCCTCAGGTTGGAACCCAAGGCCTCTCAATTAGCAGTTCAGTGCTTAGCCTGTACAGCACAGAGCTCCTGAACAATTAAAGCAGGAACTGTCACTAATTTGCTATGTAAACGTTCATTGAAAAATATTTTTAATTGACTATTAATTTAATGAAGACTTAAATAGTTCAAATCCTCAGTTAGCTAAATATGAATGCCAACATTTTAGAAATCAAGAAACAATGCTGTAAGCATATCATTTAGAGGTTCAGAGGTAATCACAAACTTGTTGTTGTTGTTGTTATGTGCCATCGAGTCACTTGCGACTCATAGCGACCCTATGTACAAGAGCTCTAAGTGCTGTTCTATCCTGTGCCAATCTAGCCATCTCAAACGCACTTATTCCC